AGAAAAAACTTGTGGAACAGGAGTGGTGGGAAGAGAACTGTGTGAAGTTTTTGGAGAGGACAATTTGGAAGATAGAGAAGCGTTGGAAAACAGGTGGGGCAGGCACCACCAGAGCTTAGTTCCCACCACAGGACTTTTCCCACCAGAAGCCTTTTCCTGCCTGAGGGTCGAAAAGTGCAGAGGCAGGGAATCACCCACCAGAGGACATTTCCTGTGAGAGGACATTTCCCACCAGAGGACATTTCCCACCAAAGGGCCAGACCCACCACAGGCCAGTGAGCCGGAAAATTGGAAAAATGCAGGTACGTTCGGATGATCAGTCCGAATACCCACTCTGTGAACCAGCTTCGTTGAACTGGGTCAGTCACAGAGTGCCCAGTTCCCCTGCTACACAAGGAAAACAACTGTGAAGCAAAAAAAATCCGAAAGGATCCCTATGACTCCAAGGGTTACACACACACGCCTCCCCGAGGGGAGGCAAGATTGTTGAGCTCCGTCTGGAGGTTTGCTTGAGGCGAGTGTAAGGTTGCGCTTCCACAGTAAAGGTCGTGAGGTTGCATGCGTGCGTGTACGTCTCGTGGAGGTTAGGTCTGTTGTGCTTCCGCATGACACCCGAGATGAAGCAAAGAAAGAAAGGGGGAAGGGGAGGGGGAGAGAAGGGACCAAGCTGGCGACAGGTTCCAATGAACCTTGAACAAACTTCGGTCGCTGCGACCACGTACGGCTTGCCCGATGGCTGCCACCTCTGACCGCTGCGGTCACGAAAAGGCATGAGCCAACTTAGAATTCCAAAGATGGGACAAAATTTGAGTTCTTGTGGCATCAGCCAGCTGCTGTCCGCTGTGGACATGCACATCTCCGGGCAGGGGAGATAACGACGTGCACCCTTTCGACGGGTCCACAGGAGGCACTCTGCGGGCTCATCCCGGGTTGGCACGAGGCCAAACACACTCAGGATAGGGTGTGCTGAATTGAAAGCGGCGCCACACGCCGGCCTAGGGTTCCAATTCCCAAGTGTACATGTACGAACCACTGGATCCTGGAGGTCTTCAAGAGGAAGTAGGGCCCAAAAGAAGAAGACGATCGACGAGCCGACAAGATGACGTCGTGTCGTGCATGTCTGCAGCAACATGAAGTACCAAGTCTTTGAGGTTCTTGGCTTAGCCTCACGCCATGCGGAAAATTGGAGAAATGCAGGTGCGTTCGGATGATCAGTCCGAATATCCCACTCTGTGACCTGGCTTCGTTGAACTGGGTCAGTCACAGAGTGCCCAGTTCCCCTGCCACACAAGGAAAACAACTGTGAAGCAAAAACAATCCGAAAGGATCCCTATGATTCCAAGGGTTACACTGCGTGCTGATGTGACAGCGGTGCCACACGCCAGCCTAAGAAACCCAAATCCTGAAAGGTCCGGGAAAGTCCCAAAGAACCTGGAGGTCTGTAAGAAGAAGTGAGGCCAAAAGCTCAAGGTCGAAGACGGCGAACGAGTCGAACAGGTTGACGACGTGCCGCTCACATCTGCCGCTTGAGTTTCTTGGCTTAGCCTCGTGCCATTTCAGAAAAAGGAAAATGAAAATAGCAGGTACGTCGGTGAGCGTCCCCACCGATATCAGTGTTCAATGCAAGCCTCTTCGTTGGGCTGGTACTTGCATGAACAACTGAAAAACTAAGGCTCCAACAGGTTCCAATGAACCTCGTTAAGCCAGCTTGACCGCTGCGGTCACGTATGGGCATGAGCCAGCTTAGAATTCCAAAGATGAGACAAAAATCATCGTACGTACGGCCTAGGCCATCTACGCTCGCTGCGAGCTGCTCTGTATCCGGGCAGTGGATACATTCGACGTACACCCGTTCGACGGGTCCACGGGAGGCACTCTGCGGGCTCATCCCGGGTTGGCGCGTAGCCAAACACACTCATGGATATGCGTACTGATGTGATAGCGGTGCCACACGCCAGCCTAAGAAACCCAAATCCTGAAAGGTCCGGGAAAGTCCTAAAGAACCTGGAGGTCTGTAAGAAGAAGTGAGGCCAAAAGCTCAAGGTCGAAGACGGCGAACGAGTCGAACAGGTTGACGACGTGCCGCTCACATCTGCCGCTTGAGGTTCTTGGCTTAGCCTCGTGCCATTTCAGAAAAAGGGAAATGAAAATAGCAGGTACGTCGGTGAGCGTCCCCACCGATATCAGTGTTCAATGCAAGCCTCTTCGTTGGGCTGGTACTTGCATGAACAACCAGCCCCCCTGCAATAATACTAAACAAATCCAGAAGGATCCCTATGACTCCAAGGGTTACACACACACACACACCCGAAGGAAGGTGACTTCCAACTGTTCTCTTGTACACCTCTGTACTTTCTTCTTGCATTTGAGCCGTCTTCCTTGAACCAGGAAAACGTGGTAGCACAAAGTTGGAAAAGTGCAAACCGAAACGCAAAGCCACAAAGTCTCCTACGCACAAAAGCTCTGCTTTGACTCTTAAGTCGTACAAGCTAGCTTCCTTTCAAAATGAATTTCGTCAACTATCGTGGTGTGATTCAAGTTTTCTAGCCGTTGACAAAGAGCTGCGCCAGGGTGGAGTTGAAAGGGGAGGCGGGGGGCCCGGCCTCTAAAATGAAATGTCGGAAACATCTGAGGTCCAGGGCTCACTCGAGTCTTGAGGCTTCAGCCACTAGTCCAAGCGTCACAGCTGGACTCGTTGGAGTCTCCCTAAAACAGCTCAGAGAAAACCCTACAAACAGTTCTCCTTACTAGCATCCCCTTTTTGAATCCCGCTCTTGAGCCAAACGTTACAGTCGGCTTGACTGTATGTCTGTTCCTCCACTCTTCTCTGAAGAGGTCTGACTTTTTTCACTGTAGAATCAGGGCCGTGCATGTGCCCGTCTTGCAAAAGCTGTTTTGAGACGCACCGCCGCAAAGTTGCCAGGTCGCTCTGAGGATTGATTTGCCTCCCTCCCCGTTCCCCTTGTACGGCTTCATACAACTGCTTGTTCCTAGCAAAGCTTAAGTGGTTCTCGGCAGTCCAAGACAACCTGCGCGCAAACATGAACCATCAGCAGGCGGCGCTGCTGGAAACTAGAAACACCCTTTTGTTTGGAGCAACTGGGCTCCTCCCTGCAGTGGGGTTCCGAATCATGCCTGCTCCCATTTGGCGCGAACAAGCGATGAACCTGCATGTTGGTTGCCCAAGCCAGTGAGGCTTTCATTGTGAGGATGCCTGGATCTCCAGGCACAGTCCAAGTCTGGTGGGAGAGAGAGCGAAACCATGCGGGCTTCCAGGAAACAACATTCGTTCTGGGTTGCTGGGGTCATTCTCTGTCCTTTCAGACTGATGTGACGCAAGGCTGCGCATTTCTCAAAGACTCTAGGCCGTAGTTGCGCTTGTGGGGCCAACTGGTTAGTTGTGTGACTAGTTGTCCCAATTTGTGTGCAGCAAAAGAGAAGACCAAGCGCCCAAAACACACAACAAACACAACCAAACCCCCAAAAGCAGAAGTTGCGCAACTCGTGTGACCATGGAGGCCGTGTGAGGAGAGGTGAAACGGGGGCAATGAATTCCGCAAAACTCTCAGTGGTTCTTGTCCCTCAACAACTTTGTTACTGCATTGCTGCTGCATGCGTTGATCAAGGCAGGCCAGGAGATTTGGTCCAGGTAAGGCACTCCAACTTGCTGCACCCCACAAAGGCCCCATGCCCAATGTAACAGAGTTGATCTGGCAAAACCGCGACTCATCGGACCATGCAAGTTTTTTTTGCACGAGTCGAGGCGCCATGTGTGCAGGTTCTGCACAAGTCAC